GGCAGCAATTGAACCACGTGTTGTTTATGCTTAAGGCCGAAACTCTTAGCTCGAAGACAAATTGAGTTCCGCGGTCTGTGAAGTAATCTAGCCGAAAAGTTGTGCTCTGGCTCTTGGAGTAGCACTACATCACCAACACCAGGTACAGTTTGTTCAGATACCCACAGTCTATCACCGTACATAGAGGCAGGCCTGCATTGGATGGTGCGTAAAGTGTTACGGGACCAGGCTGTGTAGCAGCCATAGTCCCCAATCTCGCATCCGAGCCCCTCCGAACGAAGGAAGTCTCCACGTCTACTGATCAGTCTGGTAGAGAGTTGCTGGTCGTCGTGAGGTCCTAAATACGGTCGACTCACCAAAAACTCCCGTTCAGTTAGACTTTTCGGAGCCTGTTTTGTGTACTTCGACCTTTCTGAGCTATCGTCCACCAGCTCCGAATCAGTCGACTCTTCGTCAACGCTGTACCAAACGTGAGGCTGATTGGTATTTAGTGGTGGTGGCGGCTGCTGGTCTTGATTTTCAACCCGAATAGCTGGCAAGCCGTGGGGCTCGGGCCTGCCCATCTGAGTCGCGTCCTCGACTGGATCATTGTTGACAAAAACCGGCTTTTGCGTACACGCGTCTCTGTTGACATTGGTGAATCTAGCCGACTTCACATTTGTAAACTCATCTCCATTGTGATTGAATTCGTCCGGAGCAAGATCATTTAACCATCTCGCTCTTGCCAATTTCCTCGATGAACTTTGTCCAGCTGACAGTCTGCTGCATCTTTTTCGCTGGCCATTTGAAATTGAGCGTAAACGCTTAAGGGAAATTGACACCTCGGGTGAGATTATCTCCAGTGAAAGTTTGTGTGAGGAGGGGAGAAACAGGAGAGAAGCATATTTGGAGAGATTTAGTTGACTTTCGTCTAAAGCAGCCAAACACTTGCAGACATCGAGAGACTGTACTAAACTTGTCATCAGCCCACTCCCCTCAGCGGAGCCAGTTTGTTTGTGGCATCTCAACAAAATAGGATGGCAGTTCGCTTGTTTAGGAACAGTATACGCGAGTTGATGGGAATAAAGCTCAGCCTTGGAAGTCCGGAAAATCTTATTTTTCAGGTTATTCGGACCCCTCGATAGGCATTTCCGCGTGAAAGATAAGCTCCTCTGACTCGATGCCCCGGAAGCAGAACGGACTTTGGGCCTCCTAGTGATGGGCATATAGATTCCCTGAGGGGCATTAACAGATCGTCGTTTTAAAATGGTTACTGTTTTACTGACGTCTCTTATATGATAGGCAATCTATTCGGGAAAATAATCGTTAGGAGGGTGGATAGGCGCAGAATATGATAATAATTCATTCGAATGCCGACTGCCTTGTTATCATTTTAGGCAAATTAACACACTTTCAACCATCATATTCCCAAATTGATCTGCGGACTTGCTTCGAAATTCGAAATGTTTTCAGTTTAATTATTCCCACCAAACTCTAATTGTCACTCTAGTCCAGCTATTTGCATTTAGTTCAACCTTAAGGCAACAGGGCTCTTCACAGCGTCATGTCGAGGACTT